AAACATGTTAAACAAATATGCACTTAAGTCATTATGAATAGGAACCATTGTGCAAAGTACTAAAAAAGAATTTAAAATGAACATACTACTATGGTTATGATAGTAATAGTTTTTATTTAAGCAGCAATATCCTACATTATGGGCTTGCTTAAAACAGGACATACACAGTTAACCAACAACCCAAGGACCTACAAAATCAACTGCATACAAACTTTGTTCAGGAGAGCGAAGACACACTGCAGCACATATGAAACACTAGAAAACGAGGAAAAGCATCTTATGACTATCTTCCTAAAGAACGGCTCACTATGCAACTTCATCAAAAAACAGCCGAAATCGTCAATAGCAGCAAAATCAAGTACACGAATCAATAAAGACAAATCGGAGCATACAGCACGACTGCTGAGACCATTTGGAATAGGTGTGGCACACAAACCAACAGAATCAATTCAATCAATATCATCTACAAAATAAACTGCTCAGACTGGGAAAAATACTACATAGGACGAGGTGGACGTCCTCTTCAGCTTCGTTTACGTGAACACCAATTAGCAGTCAAACGCCACGATAATTCTCTTTTAAATCAATACACACCGACAATTGTGGACATACATCCGATTGGAACAATGTGGAAATACTGGATAGGGGGAGGACAAAGAACAATAGAGAATTTTTAGAAGTTTATCACTCAGGTCAATAAGCAATCAACAAGTACATCGAAATTGGCCCAATTTACCAACCTATCAGAAAAATCATAGGTGACATAGGATCAAGAAACAGATGAAAAGGTGGATACAATCAAAACAAAGGTGCAAACAACGACAGGTTTAAGGCCAATAGCAACCAATCAAGATGAAGGTTAACAGAACAAGCTGCGGGTTAAACATGGAGAAATCCAAATACTTCACTTCTATCTGGAGTTTATGCTGATAATGTTGTTCAGAAGAACAATGAAAGCTCCACAACCAAAATATCCAGTTCAGAGAACGAAACATCACAGCAGTTTAGTAATATTTGTCGTTTTCTAACAGTCGATTAATTAGACATTCTTCTTGTGTTGATATACATGTTAATTTATGTTAAGATCTAATTGTTGTCATACTAGTCATTATAGGTAATATGTCAAGCTATCGATCAGGTGTGCTTGACGTACGGAATTGATAGCCTGTGATATGTAATCAATTTAGTAGCAACTTTTTAACTTGGTCAGTATGTTGAGTATAGGCGCTTGATTGTACGATATTGTCAGAAGGTATTCAAATCGTAAGTTATACTGAATGCTTGCGTTCCTTAAACTTTTTCTATGAACATGCAGCTTTCAGATTTCCTAGTTGAAATCATAAGACTTTACACCATTCACTAGAAGAGGATTAGGCTAACTTATGTGAAGTAGCTTCAGCAGAAATTAAAAATTTATTCAAACCACTTGGAGTTTGTGAGAATTCAGTTTCCCTTTATTCTATAACAGTTTGGAATTGTCATTCGGAGATAAACTTACATTCAGTTATTTAATTTAAACAGTTTCAGAGATATCGCGTGATGCGTAAAGAATTTAAACGTACCAGAGAAGATGTAATACTATGTGTCGTATTTCACGAATTAACGTATATAAACACTTGAACACTTTATTTTAATCCCATATTAACTTTGAATTTCATAAAAGTGCTCACTACTTTTAAACTGTATTCAACAATAGAAGATAAACGTTACGAAAGACTATTTCCATCCTTCTTTTTTTCAACACACATTAGAATCCTCAGAAGTAAATACAATGGATATAAGTAATTTATCAGAGATTACATGTTCCAGAAGTTCACCTAGAAGATTTTATTCATTACTAACTTCAAATGTCAACTCTTCATTTACATATCAATCACGTACTGAAAACTCTTTACTACTAATCATAACTGAATATGATAAGTTATTTGTGTTAATCTTGTTCGATGAAAATTTTAACAATCGAAACTTAAGATTTCGCTTCAGCGGATTTCTGTTGAGGATGTTAGATCCACAGAACTCGCTTGATAAATGCCTCAATTTGAATTTTACGTTTCCGAGCATAGGCTGATCAGTTGATCTAGAGATTTCATTTCCCACCAGGAAAATCCCTGGCTGTGATTGGTTGATGTGTTATTTTAGTGTGCTATTTTTGTGACTGTCCCAAGGACGTTTCTATGAGTCAGTCAGTCATTTGCAACCTAGAACTTCGTACGTATGTACATCAGTTCAGGTTGCCATACCACATTAGCACACAGATGTAATTGTCATTTCAAATCCCATAGTGATAAAGATAGTAGAGGTATTAATGGTAATGAAGAAGACTAGGGTTCGAAGATATTATTCAAGAAGTATAATTCAGTGAGATAAGGTTAGAAAGACAAAGGTAGAGGTGCTGACGAATCCAGAAGATTAGGATTTGAGAGGACACAACGAATGGATGCACTTGCGCCATTGCAAACGAATTTGAGCCATGTCATTCTAGGTCTCTGACCATTGGTGACTTTCGTCTCGCGGACCCCAACCAGGTAGCCTACATCTTCCAGCATAACTCAGTCCACTTGTCAGTGACTTCATGGATTTGTGCCATGTTTTGGTCTGGCCACCCCTAACTTTCTTCCAACCTACTCCTACACCACAAAACATAGTTCGTCGCGGCAGTCGGTGGTTAGGCATTCGTAACATATCTAGCCTACGCCGTAAACGGCGAAAATTGGCGAGTGCAAATCGAGCCTTCTGTATCCGTGCTGAGATTTCATCAGTCACCAGGCCACCAGCACTGATGTGACTCCCTAGATAAGTGAAGTGATCGACACGCTCGACTACTTCACTCCCTATCACTAGTTGAGGTGTCGATGTAACCCAGTCTTGAAGCGACGTTTTGCATTTCGAAGAGGAAAACCGCATCTTGAACATGCTTGCATTGTTGCTTATGGTAGTCAGAAGACTGCATTTTGTCAGCGTCTTCACCAAATATAACTATATCATCGGCATATTCTAGATCAGTAAGCGATGTTCCTGGTAGAAGGTTAACCCCTGAAAAATCTGACGAGCTCAATGTTAACTCTAAAAGCATATCAACGACCAAGTTAAACAAGAATGGAGAGAGTGGACATCACTGACGGACCCTACTTGATGTAGATAATTCAGATGACAGTTCGCCATAAGCCCTCACTCGACCAGTAGTGTTCGAGTAGAGTGCTTGTATAAGGTTAATGTACTTCTTTGGTATAAATAAACGAGATTTGTGTGCTTAGTTGCATTGTGCTTGTTGGGTGTTTGTAGAAAAAAACTTTTCGCGCTTAATCAAGACTTTTCATTGGTCAACAGATCAAGGTAGCTTACCTGCAGGTTGTTTCATAGTCTCGTCCTCGTTTATCGACTAAGGTGAACCCGTAATAGTTTCAAGTATACCTAGTGACGAACCTAACAATTTCACAACTAATCATCTTAACATTAGCATGTTTCAGTGAAGAAAAAACAAAAACAAAATGAATCACTATGGAATATTTTTCTTCAAATCAAAAGTATCAAAATGTATTTTTAACAGGGCATCTTTTATTCACTGATTGAATGTATGTTTTATTGGTCTAAAGTTCCACGTTCGACTTTTCTTTATTTATAAATGAGATGAATTTTCGAATTGACAATTCAAAATTTTTCTACTTTCTTGTTCTTTTCTTCTTTCCCGAACAATTACTTAATGAAGAATAATGATAAGTTTGAATAAAAGAAAAATGTGTAATAGATTAGAACAAGTCAATAAACATAAGCGTTATACGTGAATTTTTTTAATGTTTGGCGATTTTCTGTTAAATAGTGATTGGCTTTGACATAAATTTCAAATAGTTCTTATCATAAGCGGTGATTACAAAAACGAATCAAGATTAGACGTTGACAGTATGTTATTTATGAAATTCAACGAAAATCATGTATAATTGGGGAGCCTCAGATGTGTAGTGGACATACATAGTCATCGGATACCTCCACGCTGCTTGTTAGCTGGCGTACGAGTACTCTGATAAAACATGATTAGCGATCAATAAAATCACTGAATGTGGGTAACAGACATATTCGTTAGTGCAAACTAACTGGTTGAAGTCCAATGGATAATCATGCCAAATGATTGTGGATATTCAATATCATGGTTAAGTCTCGGTATCTGTGACGTAGTTACTTTAACTGATTATCTAACCATGTTTTGGGGCAAATTCTTTCTCCGTTCCGCAATCATATTTTTTATATCTAATCTTTTTCTTCCCTTCATTGATACTTAAATGACTTTAGTACTCCTCTAGATAATTTCATATCGTTTTGCTGATACGGCTTGATAACCTAGAACGATGTACATATGTGCCACGTAAAATGAAACTCAATTTGATGGCTTCCAGCCGATCTTTTTCAACTATCCAACACCAAATATGGCTACATCACGGTGTTAAATCACTTGAGCTACTACCGTGTCAACAGAATTCGATCAGCTCTACAAGACTAGATAACATGATAACAGTTACTACTCATTACACAACTGCTGTATTAATACCATATGCTGAAAGCGACTACAATTATGTTGAATAGAGACAGTGAACAACTAAATTCAACTGTTTCGTAAATTTTATCAGTCAAATAGCTATACAAATTATACAACTGTAGCATTTCGGTATTTTGATAAAAGATAAGTTCATGTAGTTCTCTTAGTAAACAATAGTTAAAACAATCAAAAATGATTATCATATATTTTCTACTAAATAGCATATTAGATCTAAATTGTCGCTTATAATCTTTCGTTGTCAAATAAACATTTAGGTTCAAATTTCAACCGTTGATTTACCGACTTGGACAGCATTCTACAAACTTTGGTTTTGGCAGCTGGATGATAGGTCAAAACATTTTCCTCAGACAGAAAATATAGCTCTCAAAGTATGGAGTATTCGAATTTGGTAAATGAGTTACTTCAAACTACTTAAATTATTCACATAGTTGACAGTTGATCAAGCCTGAACTTACTCGTATATAGAGCGAGTACCAGTACGTGTTGCATTTTCTGTAGGAGTTACTGGTGAAAGATCCATCATTGTTAAACATTTTCCATATTGTATTTTTAGCGTTGAATTCTTAAGCAGAGAGAAAATTATTCCACCAAATTCAAGTGCAGTTTCATCTGAAAAAAACCAAACACAGCATTATGAATAATATGAGATCCTTTTAATTTCACAATCTTTGACTTTAGGATATATATATATATATATATATATATATATATATATATATAGACAGATACAACGCAGAACTTCGTACATAAGTACATCAGTTCAGGTTGCCATGCCCCATCAGCACAGAGACGCAACTGTCAGTTCAAATCCAAGAGTGATAGCAATAGTAGAAGTATTAGCAGCAATGGAGAAGATTAGGGAGCGAAGATATAATTCGAGAAGTATAATTCAGTAAGATAAATTTATAAGGAGGAAGGTACAGATTATAGGGAATGCAGAAGCTTAGAATTTCACAGAACACAAAGAGTGGATGCACCGTTGCAAACGATTTTGAACCATGTCATTCAAGGTCTCTAACCACTGGTGACTATCGTCTCGCGGACCCCAACCAGGTAGTCTACATCTACCAACATGACTCAGTTCACTTGTCAGTGACTTCATGGATTTATGCCATATATATATATATAGCCTAACTACATGAGTAGATGAAAACTATTGACGAAGCTGTCTCCTAAAACGTTAGGGAAATCGAAAATTTTCTCATGACTAGAACTTCAAAATTAGTCTTCTGATCATTTCTATGTACTGAGACAATGAACGAACTGAGAACAATCATCCGATTATTTGATGAAATCGAGAGAGCACATTTCGTTCTACTTAGGACTCGCAGGTCGGATGTAACTTCATCCCAGACATCATATTCCGTTTTGGATTTGGACCCAATACCTCTCACTTCAAACTGAGTTATTAAGTCTAGATAGTCATAAAATTATTTTGTGGGTATGATACTTTAATCTGTACCAGTATGTTCTGACAAAATGAGCCAACTGGTGTTTGTGTCAACCTCCGTGTTGATTATGATTGATTGGCTGACTGAGAAACTCATCATAGGTATCAGTGCTTTGAATTGTCTAATCCTCACTAGTCATGATGATCAGTTTCGATCAATATTTGGTAACAGAGTGCGGTCTATGATGATCGTACACTATTATGGGTTGAATGAAGTCATTTATTTTCAATTTCTTGCAAAAGGCTACCATTTGATTAACTAAGTTAATCGATCGAATTACCAGAAAACATTTTAACGTTGATTCAATTCTCATCAAATGTTGTAACAAAATTTATGATTTCAATGTGTGATACGCAATATTTTCAATGTCGATAAATGAATGATTCCGTTCAATTTTCAAAATGAAATATAAGATGAGGTTTTGTTTTGATGCATACAGATTGTATCACGAAAGTAGGTAAAAAAAATTTAATTTTTAATGATTTGAATTATTTCGTTTTTGGTATTGTTGACTAACTTTTGATCATTCGTAACTGATGAGTTCGAAATGTGACGAGGCAGTCGTCTCAAGAGTTACTGCTAACGGTATCCTGAATATAGATATTTAATAAAAAGCAAATAATTTTATACACAATGTCAATGAATGATAATTATACTTCCTATCTAAGGTTGTGTTATAACTCACCTTTTTTATGTTCTATTAATGGAACTAGTTCGACAACAGTTTGCATCATTACGACATTGCATAAAATGGAGAACAATAAACCAGTCAAAATGATATTATTCATTCTTAGAAATAGGATCAGTCTGAAAGAGATAGCAGTAATAATAATAATAGTAATAATAATGTTTAACAGGATAGCGATTAAACATATATGTTCTATCTCACTGCAACTGTTTCGTCACTATTTGAACTCATAACTGAAAGACACGTACATAATAGTAAACGCTTTTTTATTCATTAAAACATATGAAAGGTTTATTAATTGACATACACTGGCTAATCATAACTACTGTAAAATAAATAGTTAATCAGTAATTTTTTGAATCAAAATGTTCACAACATTATTATTATTGTTACGAATGTACGTCAACACGTCATTTGATACGCTTGAACTATTACGCGTTCACTTTAGTCGGTGAACGAGAGCTAGGATCGATGATCCGGCGACTAAACATGCTACTCTAATCCAATTGTCCTAAACCCCCTTTGAGTAAACAAAGAAGACTTGATATGAAGTAGAACATGTATTTTACAAGCATCCAGAAAGTACGCAGTCCGAGTCCAGAAGAGGATAAGGATCCCGGACTAAGGATTCAGACTATAAAACGTTACAGACAATGCATATTCATACAGTTAGGTCGAATAGGAAACAACATTGAAGTCTGTGACATTGATAGTTAAGACAATCAACAGGAATTGACCAATCGAATTAGACTTACAAATAATTCGCTTAGGATATTGGATGGATATCCTAACACTTATGCAAGTGTAAAGAGAAGATCAAATAAAATTCCCAATTATTCATTTGATTGCAAATTATAATTCTGAGGGTAAAAGTTAGTTACAGGGTGTATTTCAAATTTTTTTCAAAGTATGATTTTCACAACACCAAGTTTGTTTATTTCCATATTTTTCAAATTGAGTCTTGCATTAAAACAAAAGCACACAATCATATCTGTACGCTGTTTCCAAAAATTTACCAAGATACTTACATTTATAAAATATAACGAAACGTGATTTACCAAAACCTATGTTCATATTTATATATGTAGATATAATGTTAAATAAACTTCAAATTCATTGAGTTTCTGTCTAAGTAGAAGAATGACAGTAATATTTGTATTGATTAATATTGAACAATAGAAATATGCTCTATTGAACTGTTAAATGACAGTAGATTAAATGATTCAATGTGATCCCAAAACAAGTGGATTGTTTCAATAAGTTAGTTGTTATTAGGTATCAAAATTATTAGTTCATCAACAGATTTCCCCAATAGCTGTTACAATGTACAGTCTGAAGTAAATAACTATATTAGTATTTGATGATGTATACTTATCGTCTCTAGTATTGGTTAACTGACAAGCCCGACGCACATGCACATCGCTGCTTTTCAGGCAACACAAGGATTTTCACTGTAGCCAACAGTGATTACCCCTGCCCCAATCGGGAGCATACATGTTGTCCAGTTTGGTCTGCAAGCAGGTCGGACGTCTAAAAAGCACGCACACAAACAGTGGTCCCCGTTCGGGCACTTATGAATCAACAAGATCCCTCCAACCAATCCACTTCCCACAGTCCAAAATTGGCAAGGGCGGTAAAGCAGGCTTTCTTAGCTAGACCTGGCTCCCCGAACAGATTATCGAGCCACCCAGCAGTGCACTAGCCAGCAGCCGTTCCAACCGTCCGGCCTCCAACTGCCTTGGGCTGATAAAATCGACCGGAACCCTCAGACCCCACATGAAGCTAAAGATCGAGTTTGTCCCACAAGGTCAGCCGGAACGTACATACTCCCATGAGGAAGATGTCATGGACTCAACCAACTGCAAGCACTCGGTCAAGCTGGGTTAATCCCACAGAAGTGGGCAGACATCATTGGCATCCAGTATCCTTTAGCACCGAATCACATAACCAAACTGGAAACCCTTGTTTAAGGGGCCTCGACGCCAGTCGACACAATACACCGATATGCATAGTGTTTGGGACAACCACATAGGGTCGGTGTCAATACTATAGGATCTCTACAGCTGCTTCCCCAAACAGAACGTCTGAGGCCGCCTTCAATCATCCTGGAAAACTACATCCCTTTCAAGGTATTCGCTACTACGGAATGATAGAGGACAAGTTCTCAAACCATTATCGGAATTTACCTACGCTCGATGGACGGGATTCAGACTTAGAGACGTTCAGTCCTAGTCCTCCAGAGTGGCTAGCCGCATCCACAGCCTTGTGACCATCAACACGTACCATGCTGGGCACGGTATCCTAAGCGTCCGGAATGGCTTTTAGCCTCATCGCTGTAAACAACGCCACGTTGCCTGGCCGCCACCACAACCCCCAGAAGGCTCCATTTACGCGCGTCACCTAATATACCCATTCAATTACATGACGAGGCATTTGGCTACCTAAAGAGAGTCATAGTTGTGTATCAAAATTATGAGTTCATCAACAGATTTGCCCAATGGCTGTAACAGTGTACAGTCTGAAGTAAATAACTATATTAGTATTTGATGATGTATACTTATCGTCTCTAGTATTTGGTAATTTCTGCCGTGAAGACTGTTTATTCCGATGACTTCCTACCGACAGACATCGTATTTAGACATTTGATGGTTACTGAATATGACATAGTACCGGTGTGTTTTGGACAAATTTAGGGGAACAATATCAGACTGCTTATAGTTGGGGAAACGAAGTTTACTTTCATAGAGAATATAGAAATGTCTGAAGAATAGAATATCTTTTCTATTGGAGTTAATAAATCATTTCATTTCTTAAATCGACTACCTTATTTGAATCAACTTAAACTCCGAATACCCCATTTCTAAAGCTTTTCTTATTATGAGGTGTTGTAGAGATGATAGAATTTTATACATTGCATCCAGCAATAGCCTCAGTTAAGCGGCGGTTAATTACCAAGAGGGACTGGACAGCTGTTTTGTCATGGTATGAGACTCCTAAGCAGTGTCCATCTACATGTTATTTCATTATTATTGTTACTACTATCCTAAACATACAGGCATCAATTCTGTAATTTAGTTCAACTGTTATTTTGAATCGGCATCATGGAATGAATTCAGTTAAGAAGTCGTTAAAAATTGGGAAGCGCTAGACAATCGTTTCATTCTGCTATGAAACTGTTTATCACTGTGAAACAGAACATTCTAGATAAAATCCTGGTGGCACGGCCACTGATGCACATGGCTGAGGAGTTCCATATCAAGACGAAACAGATGCCTAGTACCTCCGGACTTTTTAACTACCACCACTTCGCTATGTAAACTGTTAATTTCAAATACTTACTAGTGTTGATAGTGTTATCATTATCTTTGAAACTTCTTCATTTGTGAATATTTCTTTCTGTCAGAGGTTCAAATTAGGATTACTCTTATTTTAGAACAAAGAGGAAAGCTAAAGCAAAGATGATTGAAGGTATACTGATGAATTATAAAACTCCCTCTATTTCAAAAGCTAAGTAATGTCTACTTTATCTCTTTCCTACTTAATATAGAAAGTAATAAAGATATGATTGTTTTATGTTGATTACTTCATGTAACTAATGATACACATTTATGGATAATCAGTTATCTATTTTGACATGGTATACAGTTTAAATCCCCATGAAGATAAACAATAGGGTTGATACGTATATGGTACGAATAAAAAATTTGTTTATACTGCTTGAATATTCATCATAGTTTAGAAATAATCGATCAGTGATCAAATTTTCACACTTCGTTCGCACCAAAATTATTTCTTTTTGAACGTTTTATATTTTAGGACAGAGTTTTAGAGGTTTTGTGTTTTTACACATTTGAAATCATCAATCAATCATTGTTGTTAGACCACCATTAGAAACCTGGAAGCACTGGACGGCCGTTTCGTCCTGGTATGGGACTCATCAGTGGCAGTACGCATCCACAACTCCTGCACCTCGCAGGATTCGAACCCGGGATCTTCGGTATTGTGCTCGAACGCCTAACCTCTGGACCACTGGGCCGGCATCCAACGGTGTAAATGTCTAACTCTGATTGATCTATGGAATTTCGCGCTACCAGTGATGTTGTCTGGATTAGGTGATGCATTTTTTTTGACAATATTCTGGAATTTTCTAAACAATCTGTAAACATTTGTAAACAAAAACTACACTATGAATGAAAAATCATATAACAACCATTCATTTTATCATTTACAATAAATTCATATAATTATACTTATATTTGTTTATTCAACGAGTTAATTTTCTCTTCAGGTCAACCATTGAACATTGAAGCATGGCAAACTATCCAAGCGAAAACTTATAAACTATTCAAAATTATTCTAAAATTTGTATATATATCATTGTTCACAATGATTTAGTTTTTATAGTAATAAAATAGACCATTAAAATTGACAGGATTTTATTTATTTAAAACTATCTCTCTGTGTGTAACTATAGCATTTTGGTTGAAGTTAATAGAATAGGAATTATTACACAAATTCTTAACATTAACAAACTTTTCTAGAAAATAGTGTATTTAAAAAAAGGAAAATTTTATTAAATTGAACTTAACTGTTATGGAATATTTTTGTCATATGATAAATTCATTAACCAGTGCATATTTACTTTAAACGTTTGTTTCTTAGACCATTGATCATTGAAAAAGAAATTCTTTCATTCTAGAATAATTACAAACAGCCATATGAAAAACTCTTTGATCTTTGTAGTCTATATATATATATATATATATATATATATATATATATATATATATATATATATATCCCACAGTGGTAGAGACAGTAGAAATATTAGCAGTAATCGGAGAGATTAGGATTAAAAGATATTATTCAAGAAGTCGAATCTTGTGAAACAGATTTAAAAAGAAAAGCAGATAAAGTTATGAGGAATTAAAAAGTTTAGGATTTGAGAGAACACAAAGAGTGGATGCACCTAAGCCATTGCCAATGATTTTGAGCCATGTCATCGATAATTATCACCTCACGGACCCCAACCAGGTAGCCTACATCTGCCAACATGACTCAGTCCACTTGTCAGTGACTTCATGGATTTGTGCCATGTTT